GACCATGTACGTGCATGCTTTRAAATTAATTTCGAAAAGGCTGAGCTTGTGTGACATGTGTAATTAGCTAACCCAAAAGGAAAACAACTCTCCATCTGTTGGAGCAAGTCCACTGACGAGGGGGAGAAAAAAAAAAGCACAGATTTTGTGTAAGCTCTTATTTGATTAGAAAGCTAGCGCGACATTACTTGGCGAGAGCATCTGGATAAAATCACACCAACTGTGCTTAGAAGCCACATGTCGCTGAATTAGCATGACAACGTGACAGAAAGCAGATGTGCTTCGATGGCAGCCCTCTCAGACTCTGTCTTCTTCTTCATCACCACTTTGTCAAAGTGTTTTACAAAGATGTACAGGCAGATAACTGATTACTCTTTGGCAGCAGGCTGTGGGATCTTAGCATGAGGATAGAAATCCATTAAAAACCCTCACAGCTATGTCAGATAAAAAACAGTATTTTGTTTGAGAACATTTAAATAAAACAAATATTGAATTCATTTTTTAAATTTACATTTTACACAGCATCATGTATTAATAGAGCTGCATTTTCTTTAGGTTTAGAAATGTTTCATTAGGCCTTTGACAACATAAAATCAATATATTTTAATTAAGTGTTAAGTGGGTTGTTGAACAATAAGCGAAAGAGTTTGATGAATCACTTTGTCCGTGTCTCTACTTTGACCTATGACCTTTTTAAGAGCTTTTAGAGAACAGGTCTGCAGAGGCAAACGGCTGATATCAGCTTACTCTGCAGAGTGTTTGAGCTTAACTCGCAGACATAAGATGAGTTCAGAAGTTTCCAGGAGGGCCAAATGTCCTCCACATTAGATGTGAATCAGGCATCTGATAAGGATTTTCTTCAGGTTGTCTTTCCTTGAGATCAAGGAYGGCAGCCAGCTTGGCAGAGGGTCAAACCAGAAGTGGTGGGAGTGATGAGAACTCTAGTCTGGGAGCATCTGGGGATCCCCCAGGGGGRAGGTGCTGCAAATTGCCGTCCGGGTGTCTCTGGCCTTGCTGTTATTACTGCAACCCTGAAATGGATTAAACATTTTATGGCTGGATGGAATGATCTGGGTGTTAGAAAGATGAGCTCCAAATGCACCAATGTGTTAATGACACTAGTTATTTTTTTAATGTGCATAATAAACATTAATTATTAAACATTTCTGGGACTGTCCTTTTATTCAAATGGCTGGAGAGATAACATGATGGAACTTGAGGGGTTATGACAAATGATGATTTCAATGCAAATTGAAAAGATAAGATAAGATAAGATAAGATAAGATAAGATAAGATAAGATAAGATAAGAAAGATGTTTGGGGTCATTGTCCTGGTAAAAAATAAATGATGGTCCAACTAAAGACAAACAGGATGGAATAGCATGCTGCTGTAAGATGCTGTGGTAGCCATGCTGGTTGAGTATGCCTTCAATTTTGAATAAATCCCCAACAGTGTCACCAGCAACGCACCCCGACACCATCACACCTCCTCCTCCGTGCTTCAGGGTGGGAACCAGGCATGTCGAGTGCATTTGTTCACCTTTTCTGTGTCGCACAAAGACACGGTGGTCGGAACCAAAAATATATTAAATAAAGCACAAATTTCCATGTGTTAATTTATAGCTTTGATGCCTTCTTTGTCAATCTACAATTTTCAGAGTCATAAAAAAGCTATTTGCATGATATATCCAATCTTTTGGTCTGTATATTTTAATATTTGTGGCAAAAGTAACTAATCACAGTAAATTGGAAAGATCTGAAACTTCCAACTACAGTGGTTTGCAAAAGTATTCATGCCCCTTGAACTTTTCCATATTTTGTCACATTACAACCACAAACATAAATATATTGCACTGGAATTTAATGTGAAAGACCAACACAAAGTGGTATACAATTGTGAAGTGGAAGCAAAATTTTACATGAATCAAAACATTTTTTATAAATAAAAACTGAAAAGTGCGATGTGCAAAATTATTCAGCCCCCTGAGTCAATACTTTGTGGAGCCACCTTTT